ACAGCAGCATACGGACATGCATGAGGACTGTAAAGTTTACAGCAGCAGAGTATAAAGCTCAGCCGGAGCTTGTCGGAGAGCAGACGGAGCTGCGGGAACAGCCGTCTCTGCAGCGTCGCCATGGCAACAGGAGCCTAACCCAGCAGCTGGTGCTGGAGAGCGAGCGGTCACAGTTGGTGTTTGTTCTTCATTAATCCCATGATTGTTTGCTCAGGAACAAAATAACCTCTGATTCATAAAATGTGTCAAATTTGCTCAAAGGGACAGAAAATAACAAAAACACTCCGTTTGTCAACAAACAAGCAGCAAAACGGAGGAGAAACATCCAGACCTTCATCTGGATGGGTTTGGGTCAGAGCCGAAGAGAACCAGGACCAAACAGCAGACAGGACAGAGACAGGAGATTGAGGACATGAGGACATAGTACAGTGTCTCAGAGTCTAACCAGGATCTGTCCAACATGAGCAGAACATCCACCGCATCTCAAAACCCAAACAAGTCCTGCAGAAACTGGGTCTCACAGATGGACCTCAAACCTGGACCTCAAACCTTGGCCTCAGACTTGGGCCTCAGACCTGAACAAGGAGCTGGACCTCAGACCTGGGCCTCAGACCCGGACCTCAAAGTTGGACCTCAGACCTGGACCTCAGACCTGGACTTCAGAGCTGGACTTCAGAGTTGGATCTCAGAACAGGACCTCAGAACAGGACCTCAGACCTGGACCTCAGATTTGGACCTCAGACCTGGACCTCAAACCTGAACCTAAGAGCTGGACCTCAGAACTCGACCTCAGACGTGGACCTCAGAACTGGACCTCAGACCTGCAGCCATCGTCTCACCTGCTTCTCTGGAGAGCTGTGTGAAGACATCCACCCCCTTCTCCCCGTAGCTGCCCTCTGAAGCCACTGTGGATACGTAGGTCCAGCCCAGGGTCTTGACCATGTCCACCATGGCCTGGGCTTGGAAGCTGTCCGGTGGGACGACCCGGGAGAAGAAGTCGTAGCGGCGGTCGTCGCTCAGCTCCGGAGCTGTGGAGGCGTAGCTGATCTGAGGGATCTGCCAGGAACAGGAGGAAGAGGAGACATTAGTGAAGATCTGCAGGGTCACAGAGAGTGAGAACATTCTCAGGAGGTCCAAAGGTTGAACGACTGACATACTGTCAGGACCAGAAAGACCCGGGTTCCGATAAACCCCTCAGAGTTCCTGGAGACACTGGCCCATCCAGAGGTCTTCTGAGGGACCCTGACCTGAGACCTTCAGGAGCTTCCATCAAACCTGTGAAGGTTCTGAAAGGTTCTGTCAGCTCAGACAGAACCGCTCAGACCTCCTGAGGTTGATCTGGACTCAGGTCATAAGCTCAGCACTTTAGGAACCAGTTCTGGGATCAGAACCAGAGTCCAGTTTTTCAAAGGTGATTTTTTTCTTTGGGTGATCTAGAATGAGTCTGAAGTTAATTAAAGATCAAAGGAACTTTGGAACTGATGGAAAATGAGTTTGACCCGGCTCAAAGCGAAGTGGGTCGCAGTAATTACACCACACCACTGAGAGATCCAGGGATTAGTCCACCTCCTTTAGGTGCCCCTTAAAGACCGGCAGAATTAAATCCATCCATCAGAACCACGCTGCCGTCAGAGGTTGGCCCACAGAACCTTTCATCAAACTAATTATAAAGGAAACAGATTTTATTTTGAAGCCGTTCAACACGAACACTTCCTGCTAGAGGTTCCTCCATCATGTTGAAGTGAAACCTCCTGAGCAGGTTCTTCACCTGAAACTAAACTGGAGCCTCGGTTCTGACACCTGAAGAACCATCTCACCCTTCTTTGTTCGCAGGTTTTTGTCACAACTTCAGGAAAAATAAAACCAGTCAAACCAGTGCGTCCATCAGCTCTAACAGAACGTCTAACATAGAAAATGTTGAATAAAAACTCAAAATGTCCCCCAGACGGGCATGGAGGGTTAGTCCAGCTCAGACTTCAGAACCATCATCAGAGTTTAACCGGGTCGCAGGAAGTTGGACGGAGCTGTTTTCAGAACTTGAACTGTTTTAACACGATCCCAGCTGATGGAGGATTGATGGTTCCTCTCAGAGGTCAGAGGTCAACACCCAAACTCCTGTTGACTTCCACTGCGTCTCACCTCAGTAAACAGGAAGTGAAGGTTCTGTTCAACTTCTCCATCAAACCCTGTAGAACCATCAAACAGAACCTTTGGTACCACCAGAACCTTCTGCTGCTCACAGGTCAAGAACTTCTTTGATCATATACACGTCTGAGGCTTACTTTTTACTCTGGGTTTTCATCTGTAGAGCTGCTGGGCTTTGCCTCGTCTCTATATTACCCAGCATGCTCTGTTTCCATCATGGCCGCCCCACAGATCCTTCATGTCTCTGATGAGACCTCTGATGTTCAGGAGGATTCAGTCAGAGGGTCAGAAGGAAACAGGAAAAAAGCTGAACCTGGACTTTCAAAATAAGAGTCTGGCTCTGTCCTGACTTCCTGTTGGACTTTAGAGCAGAAAGTTGATTATTTCATCCCAAACGGTTAAATCGTGTCATCTGGGCCAGTTTCTTTAACATCATTAATATTTAACATCACCTAAAACATTGGATTGATGATGACTGATTGTTCTGCACGTGTTAAAAGTCACTTCTGAGATTCCAGCAGGAGGTTGGTTTGAAACAGTGAAGGCTACTTATGGGACAGATCTGATCGGCAGCCTGCAGACTGACGAAGTCCTCTGGATGGGGGATGAAACGTTTCTCACTTAAAGAAACTGGTCCAGATGACATGAGTTAACTTTTGTGTTGTTATTTATCTGGATGATTGAGCTCACAACCTTTTTTAAATGTATTAATTAATCTTTGTTGTTTGATTTAATCTGTAAAATATAACATTAATTAAACGTTTAGTTTTATAAATGTTTCCATTTTATTAGATTTGATTCATTTTCCTCCCGGTCAGGTGATGGTTCTGGAGCCACTGTGGCCCACACGGAGCTCCAACACTCATCAGCTGTTTGTCTCCACTTCACCTCAAGGAGAAAAGACCAGAACAACATTTTAGGTCAGGAGGACCAGAACTCCTCAGGTCTGAGGACCGAATGTCTCAGTCTCTAAGCGAGCTCTTGAACACGCTGCAGGGCCTCGTGTGAGCAGAACCAGCTGCTGCCAGATGTTCTGATCAGCACACTCTGGTGTTGAAGAGACCCGACAGTCACGGCCGCCTCCTCAGAACCAGCTGTCGGTTTGGAGCACGGCACCGAGTGGTTCTGGTGGTAACAAAACCTCTTTCAGAGCAGATGTTGTCTCGGATCAGAGGTGTACGGTCAGAACCTCAGGTTCTGTTTGAATTTGACGTCAAACCCTACAGGCTGCACGGATCCAGTCCTGGACTGGACTGGTCCCCATGGTGGTTCTGAAGGAGAACTCTGAAACTGCAGCCTGAAGTCCGGCTGCAGCCCAAACCTCCGGTTCTGCCCACTGGTGTCCCTCTGTCCTCAAGAGGACACACGGGTCAAAAACACAACGTGGGTTGCAGCGAGTTGAACCCAAACAGGGTCAGAACAGGGTCAGAACCGAGGAGAACAGACAGGAAAGTCAGGAGGAGACCCTGACAGACCCAAACTGATCCGGATCCACCTGATTCTTAATGCAGGGGTCTTCAAGCTGCGGCTCCGGGGCCACGTGCGGCTCCGGGGCTCCCTGGTCAGGGTCCGTCTGACACAAACAAGTCGTGTTTAAATCTGATCAGTCTGCGCTAACATTTGTTAGCCCGTTAGCCTCGTCTTGTCTCCGAACAGAACATTTTGAAATAATTTGTGCTCCTTGGTCTTTTGTTTTGACACGTTGAAGATTTTAAATATCAACAGTTCTTTCCCGAGGTTCTGCAGGTGTGGGCTTTTCACAACGGTCGGGTTTTCTTCAGGGCTCCAGGTTCTGGGCTTTGTGTTGAATAAGAAAAGAGTAGAAATGTCCCTTTACCATACCATACCATACCAATTTATTTATATAGCACTTAAAACAGCAACAAGGCCAACCAAAGTGCTGTACAAAAGAACCAAACATGCACAGCAGACAGGAAAACATAAAATAGAAATACAGATACAAATAGCAGCAGAAGCTAACTAAAATGGCCAACAGAGTAGAGAACAGACCGGACCAAAACAAATCACACCGTGTTAAAGGCAAGCGAATAGAAGTGGGTCTTCAAGCGAGACTTAAAGACTGAGAGTGTGGGAGCCTGCCGGACACTCAGTGGCAACTCATTCCACAGTCGTGGACCTGCAACAGAGAAAGCCCTGTCACCTCTGAGCTTACGACGGGTTTCTGGGACTGAGAGAAGCATCTGGTCTGCTGACCTCAGAGAGCGCGGTGGGACATATGGCTGCAGAAGATCAGTGAGATAGGATGGGGCGGAACTGTTCAGTGATTTAAAAACATACATGAGTGAAACATACTTTAGAACCTAAAGCTGCAGCCTCCTGATGAAAATAAGTCTGAAGGATCCACCACCTTCAGTTCTCGGGTTTCAGGACCCAGTCTACTGAACCGGGTCTTTATCAGGTTCTAAAATGATTCTGGCTCAAGAAACGAGAACAGGCCTGGATCAGGACACAAAACATTTCAGGATCTTTCAGTAGAACACTCTATGGTTCTGTAGAACACAGTAGAACCCTCTATGGTTCTGTAGAACCCAGTAGAACCCTCTATGGTTCTGTAGAACCCAATAGAACCCGCTATGGTTCTGTAGAACCCCGTGTGGTTTGAATGTTCTGAGTGTGAAACACAAACTGGGTCCTAATGACACCTAATTACTGCGACGGGTTCACTCAGTGAGCTGCAATTACTGATCCCAGAACAGACTCATTTACTCACACACACAGTAACACACACACACACACACACACACACACACACACACACAGTAACACACACAGTAACACACACACACACACACACACACCAACACACACAGTAACACACACACACACACACACACACACACACAAACACACACAGTAACACACACACACACGCACACACACACACACAGTAACACACACACACAGTAACACACACACACAGTAACACACACACACACAGTAACACACACACTGGTGGACCTTCATCAACATTCTGGTATTTTCTCAGCCAGCTGACAACAAGCTTCACTTCCTCACTCTGTGTGTTACTTTGTGTGTGTGTGTGTGTTACTTTGTGTGTGTGTGTGTGTTACTGTGTGGCTCAGCTTTCAACAACTGTGATTCCCTAATAAAACAATTGTGATTGACTGTTGAGACAGATGAGGAAGATGAGAAAACATCTTAATTTGTCTCATCCTCCTCACTTTTCCCATCTTCATCAATTTCATCTTCCTTGCTCGTCTCGTCATCACGTCTCATCTTCCTCATCTTCCTCATCTGTCTCATTTTCTTTACTTTCCACTTCCTTCCTCATCTTCCTCACTTGTCTCATTTGCCTGGTCTGTCACATCTTCATCTGTCTCATCTTCCTCAGTTCATTAAACAAATCATTTTCAGATCTATATGAAGCTTTTCTGGGTTGTTGTGCATCAGCAACATTTTTTTTGTCACGTTGAGCTGAAACTGCTCTGAGAGCAGCTCACTCTGCCGTTAGCTCCAGGTTTGTTTGTGAACATCCTGATAAATAAACATTAATAATAATAATAATATTAATAATAATAATTTGTGAACAAAAACATGACAAAAAGACTAATCATGTCTGTCAGTTTGTTGATGATTCCAGGAATTAGTCTGATCCCCCTGCCTCGTTCGTGTGAAGCGTGGTGTTTATGTCACGTGGGGTCCGGTTTGTTGGACCGGGACAGAACCAGGTTGCAGTTTTTCTGCGGAGAGGATTGTCGCTCCATCCGCTCATAGTTTTACGTCCGCCTCTCCTCGTTTCTCTTCTTCCTGCCAAACCCAAACACTCGACTCTGCGCCTCCTGCCCAGAAACCATTTAGCAATCATCATCATGATGAGAGCTCATCCGTTCATGCCGTCTGAAGCCTCTCTCAGGTCTGGGTTGATCCTG